AAAATCTTGGCACTACCCACCCCACCATTTGGAAGTTCATCGAGGCATTGCAATGACACTGGTTCAGAAGTACACCCCGACTGAACAGCTGGAGTCTTACCTGAAGAGCGTTGCCTACACTTTCAAGTTGCAGTTGTGAATACTCCAAAATGCATCTGAGAAAAGTGAGCACCTAGCCTACTTGGACACTTCATCATGACACATCAATTTCAACCCTTTCAATGACTCCAAAATCCTTTAAGCACATTCTTGGAAGATTTGTTCCTGAACTTGTTTTATGGCGCTACATTGTCATGTAGCCTACTCTTATTGTTTTGCATTTTTGGGTTATTTGAAATAAACGTTTTAGGCCTGCTTATTTTTGCCCCATCATTTTTAATATTTTACTAAGCTATTTTGTTGATAAAGAAAGGTTTTATAGTGAATGGTTGGTGTTAATGGATAGTGTAAAAACTAGATAAAACAGAAATACGTATTCTTTAAAATGAAAATACATTGTAGAAACTAGATATTGGCTGTTTTTAGCCTTCAGCCTTTATATAACCATATGAACAAATGTATATACATTCTGCCCATATGAACAAATTTTTATAGGCCTATGTTACAATATTCTGTCCTTATGAAGGAATGTATGTACAATATTTGTAGCCATACATGATTTAATGAAAAGCAGAAAACATACACATTTAAACACAATCAGGCAATAGTTAACATACACAACATTGTTTCACATTTTTTATAACCAACTCATAAACATGCAATAGGCTAAAGCTGGCTTCACAGCTTCCTAGCTCATCACAGCTTCCTGGGAAAACTCGACTTAGGGTGTTTTCACATATAGTCCTCTTTAAGAACCGATTTCAGTCCTCTTTAAAGTAAGCTCAGGGGTAAAAAAAAAAAGAGCAAAAGAACTCAGTTCTCTTTGTATTCACACTAACCTTGCCTTTGAATGAGGACTCAACTCTTTTGCCAGTTCACTTCAACTATTTTGTAGACCGAGTCCTCTTTGCATTCACATTGCTATGTTTAGAAAGGAACCAATACCTTTTTCCAACATGCACTCTGGGTTTTTACAAAGTGCAGGACAAACCATTCAATCAGAATGCGTTATCGGACAGATAGATATACCTACTCACATTTTAGAAGCTAATAGATTGCATTTAGTTAAAATATGAGACATGATAATTGTAAGGGAAGTAGTGAGGTGAGGAAGGTGGGTGTCAAGTGCAAAAACAGGGATACGTGCTCCAGTAGTTCAGAGATGGAACTTGTTGAGAGTGATGGTGAAGTACCTGCGGCGAGGATCGCCGAGTTCGGGCCTCGTCCCAAGGATGATAAGGATGATTTTGGCCCAGTGGGAGTGAGATTTGTAGAGAGAATGGATCATTGCTGTTTGGTTGATCCATATGTGGTGTTAGGTTGGGTGGAGGAGAGGTTGGGGACTGTTGAGTTGGTGAAGGTAACTCGGAGTGGACTCGTGATGATTTATTGTGTTTTCTCCGCCCAGAGGGAGAGGGCGCTCTAGATTCCGAGATTAGGGACAAGAATTGTGCCGTGCTTTGCTCTCCGGAGCAGGGCGCCGTAGAAAGGAGTGGTAACAGGGGTGGCATTAAGTGTTGAGGAGGAGCAGTTGAAATGGAAGATTCCCGGTGTCTGTGACGCCCGCCGCTTGATGAGACGTAGATCCGGTGGAGAAACGGAGAAGACATTATCTGTCATGCTGAGTTTTGATGCGGAGTCGTTACCAGATAAGGACAAGGTAGGAAGTGTCAGTTATCCTGTGAGAGTTTATCTTCCGAAAATATTACAGTGTTTTAGGTTTCAAGGTTATGGGCATATTGCAGCAGTGTGTAGGAGAGAGATGCCTAGATGTGAGAAGTGTGCAGGAAGGCATGAGACAAAGGAATGTGTGGTATCGGTGGAGAAAGTTGTGAGTATTAGTTGTGGGGGTGATCATGGGGCTGGAGATCGGAGGTATCCGTTGAGAGAAAAGCAGGTTGAGGTTGCCAGGGTTAGAGTAGTACAGAAAGTGTTGTATACCAAAGCAGTGAAGAGAGTGGTAGAGGAAGATGGGTACAGGGTGAGGGATCCTGAGAGTATTCCTGTGAGTAGGCAGAGATCAGTAGAGATCGAGAGAGTGATGGGAAGAATATGTGCTTCAGTAAGGTGGGCTTTTTAGCATTTATAGCCATGGTTGTTAAATGTACTGCAGAAATTAATCGAGAGTAACAGAGGTTGTAGTGGCAGCGGCAGAGAAGTACTTGGGATTGTGAGGATTTACTGCAGAACAGCTGCAGGGGGTGTTTCTTTTTAGAGAGGGCTGATAGGTGATAGCGTAATTTTCCTTTTTCCAAATATTGTATTATTGTATCTAATAATATAATATAGGTAGGCCGTAAATAGCCTCACACACCAGTACAGTAGGTGGCGGTGTATGCAACTAAAAGTTGGATGCGATCTTTCAAGCAAATCCCAAAGAAGAAGAAGAAGAAGAAGAACAAGAAGGCGCCTGGATATAGGACCGCACAGACATCACAGAGCGTGCGGACAGGCTGTGTGAAGGCAAAGCTTCTGAAAGGATGGCATATAGGACCAGCACAGGAGGGATGAACAGAGGCAAGTGCTGTCGGTGTTGCTTTGAATTTTCTCAGAGTTGTAAAAACAAGCAGCGCAGAAACTGGCTACCATTTAGTTGACTGATCTAGCTGGCAAGGTAACTGCTGTTTGACAGAATAAAAAAATCTATATATTCACAGTGCTGAGCTAGTAGTGTAACTGACGTTACGTTAGCTAATGTTTCATCCCCTCTCGACTGAAGTGAATGAACTACTAGCAGCTAGTTAGCTAGCTAGTAGCTACCACAGCCAGTTCAGCTCTAGTTATCCTCTAGCAACAGTATCTGTCAGGGAGCAGTATCTAACAGCTGTTGTGTGTGTGGAAATGTTTTATAGCCTTTGTTTTGTTTTGTTTCAACAGAAGTACATTTGATGATGTACCATTGTACCATTAGCTAGCAGAGCTAACCAAAAGTTGGTGTTGATGGGTAGGCTACAGTCTGGGACCTGGGAATAATGGTCATTTCAATTGTTGAACCATTCATTCTATTCATGGGTAATATAATGTATAAATGTACACCAATATAATTCTTTGTAATGCATTATCTGAGCAGGATCAGGTGGTGACAGGGGTCTCATCAGGGTCAAGCAGCCAGGGAAGACCAGTCTGTGACGGAGCCGAGGTGAATTTTTGCAGATACAACACTTTATTTTCTCTGTGCAGCAAACACAAGCAAGAAGCTTCAAAGATTGAAACTATTTTAAAGCAGTCTGACAAACCTCTAAAGTTGATTTCCAAACTGTATCAAGGGTTGATAGAGGCTTTTCCAGGTGACACAAAATATGTAAAACAAACATGTGAGGAAGACCTGGGAGACGCTATTGATGATGATGAATGGCTACAGATATGTTAGAATGCACAGTTATGTTCATATAATCTCAGAAATAAATTACTGCAGTTTAAGACCATCCATAGAATGTGCTATACGCCAGTGAAACTGAATATCATGCACACAGAAATGTAATTATTCTGCTGGAGGTGTAAAACACAAAAGGGGACATATTTGCATATGTTTTGGTCTTGTGAAGGCTGGCTGAATCCTGGCAAAGAGTATGTTCTTTTATCTCAGCATGTCTACAGATTCTCCCTTCTCCCTGTTTTTGTTTGCTTGGAAATGTTGATACTGGAGACTTATCAGAAGAAATCGTGTAACCTAGCATTTATAGCGGCTAAGAAATGCATTGCCATTAATTGGAAGGTTGGTTACCCTCCCACAATGGATGGAAGAAATGTCAAGTTATGTATCACTAGATTTGATTTATTACAAAATTAATGGTATACTGTCCAACTTTCATAAGGTCTGGATGCCACTTTTGTTTCCAAACCTTTCCTTGAGACATAAAAAAAAAAGATGGGAAGGAAGTGTTGGGGAGAGAGTTGAGTTATTGACTAGACTGGTGGGGGTTGGGTGTGCAGGTGGCTCAGGCTGGCTGGGCGGTCTGGCTGAACTATGATATAGAGGATGTCTTAATAAAGACAATCAAAAGTGTTTGTACTTTATGTATAAGAGTTGTTCATTTGTTAGGCTATTGGTTGAAGGTGCAAATTGCAACACAATATTGATTATTGAATTATCATTGATATAGTTCAGTCTTATCAATCACTTAAACATTTAATAATGATATCTTACCTAGCTTGATGACTGGGCATTTTTTCTTACTTTCTGTTGTTCTAAATAGAGAAGGCTAGAAGGGCCATGGGTCATATTAGATTGTGTAGAAATGAAGGAAATGAGCTTTAGATGCCCCCAAAAATGGGAGGACCACCAGACCCTCCACCAAGTTATGTTTCCCCCCACTTCTAAAACCAAAATTGCGCCTCTGATTTAATTTAATTTAAAAACATTGTTTCATAGGGTATTTGACAAAAATCAGAGAGACCCACCAGTCCCATTTACTGTGTAGGATAAGATGACATAGGCTTACTCAGTTACTGTTATTGATAGTGGCCAAAGAAGATGGATGAAAGGATATGAATGGGAGTGATATAGAAAATGTATTTTGTCATTTGCAGTATAAATGGTCTTTATTCATGTTTTTCTTTCAAGTTTTTAAATAGAACAAGATACAAAGGGAGCAAAGTAAGACCAGTCAAGGTGGCTGTCTTACCTTGTGAATAATAAACTAAATTAGTAATTTACAAAAGATAAATGGAAATGCATTACAATATAAATAGGCTACACTGTATGTGAGAATAACAGTTATGTTTGTATGTTGAGCATATATGTTTTACATGTCAAGCTGTGCAATGAATGGAATAGAAATTTCAATGTCCATTTGTTTGTCACTCACTGTGACAAAAGACTCAGCATTTCTGGTAATGTCCTGAAGGAACTCAATGACCTTGGTGTGGATGGCATTAATGCAGTGAATTATGGAGTCAATTCAGGACTGGATATCAGCGTTGAGCTGCTCAATGGACATTTCAGCAAAGAAGTCTTCAAGCTTGAGTTTGACGAGGTCGCAGTATTCTCTGATGATTCTCTTGGCTTCCTTGATCTGCTGTGTGATATCATACATGGCACAGGAGTTGATGGCGTCGCTGTAGACGTTGCTCATCCACATGGTGAGTTTCTCCGCATCCTGAGATTTCAGGGAGACAATGAGCTCTTCGGTTTTCTCCAAAGTTAAGCGCAGGAATGCAGACAGCCTGCTCACGATATCTTCCAGAGTGACATCTCCAACTTTCTTCACAATGACGATCAACTGCTCCTGTATCTTCTCCATGGTGGCCATCAGTTCATCCAAGATTTATTTTTGAAGTTATAATGAAATATACACTCATGTCGTCTACCATTTGCTTGAAGTCAAAGGCATTCAGTTCATTTACAAATTAGTTCACATGTGCCATGATTTTCTTCAGTGTGGCTTGGATGTCAATAGACTTAAGAGCATTGATTGCTGACTGAATGTGTTCTCTGAGCTGGTGGGACTTCATGATTTCCACAACCTCATCCATTATGTTCTCAACCATCTTTTCAACCTCATAATTGGACAGGATCTCATCAATTTTGGTGTAAATAGCATTCATCTTGCCAGCGATGTCATTTTTCTTGATCCAACTCATAACGGTGTCCTTGATTGACTTCAGGACATTCATGATTTCTTCAGTGGGAATCTTGGACATCAGTGTAGGAATGTGGCTTTCAATGGAGTTGATTAAGTTCTTCAGGTCCTGAATGAACAGGTTGATGTCGAAGCTCTCAACAACTTGTTTCAGTTCTCCCACTTTCCCCTGGATCTTGGCTCTGATTTCATACTTGGTGTCAATATCTAGCAGCAGGCCTTTGCTGTTCTCCATCGTCATCATCATTGCAATTTTGACTTGTTTAATAACCGCAGGCATATGCTCAACGAAAGGCAGCTGAATGAAATAGCTGTCACTATTCTTCTTGTACTTCAGGGAGCCAGAGATGGCGTATTCCTGGTTTTCACTGGCCTTGTTCAAGATGGTGGTGAAAACAGCTCCTGTCATATCCATTCCCATAATTTCAGCATTGTTCATGGTGCTAAGTTCCTGGTTGAATTCATGGTTGTTCAGTTTGGATGTCATCTTTATTGAGGCATACTGCTCCTGAGGAGTCAGACTACTGATGATCTTGTTGCCCAGGTTGGTCTCGACGGAGTCTCCATTTTCCAGCAGGAGGGTTGTGGAGGCCTTGCATTCGTAGGAGTGGGAGAAAGCCAGGGGCTCCGCTTTCAACAGGAACTGGTTGAACAGCTCAATGTTCTGAATTCCAAACATATTCGGAGTTCCGTTGGAGTTGAATAGGGCAGAAATGTCAACCATGAATGGCTCAGCAACAACGTTGACAGTGCTGTCCAGGTTCAGTGCTGTCCCCAGAATAGTTTGGGATTTGATGCTAGCCACGCTGTTGAACTTGGTGGACAGACCAGCAATCTCAAGGTCAGCGGTGTGGGTAATCTGAGATGACATGTATTTTCCATGGGTGTTGCACTTAGCAGTGGCGGTCACGTCAGCAAAACTGATCTCATAGGTGTGCTTGAAATTGGCCTCTTCGTTAGAGACTCCCTTCAGGTTGCCAGTCAGTTCCATCTTGTAATCCTTTACCTTGAACATGGCCTCGTTGACAAAGTGGATGTCTGTGATCTTGAGGTCGTTGTTCATGTTCACAGATACACCGACGTGCTGAATGTCGACAGAGATGTCGTGCTTGTAGGTGTTCTCCTCGTTTAAGAAGTTCTCAGTCTTGGAGCGGAAGGCCAGGGATTTGAGAGTGAGAGTCAGGGTGTGTGTGTTCTCAGTCTCCATCTGATACAGGGCAGCGACCAGGTTGTTGGAGAGGGCCAGGCCGTCTTCGTTCACCTTCAGGTTCACTATGTTCCTGGTGTTGGTTTCGAAGAGATTGCCAATGTACATGCTGTTCAGGTAGACCTCAGAGCTTGCCACTTTCCCCTCCAAGTTGAGGACAGCGGTGTTCTCCCAAATGGCTCCCTTGGTGTTGAGGGACACGTGGGCCCTGGTGGTATCGACTCCACCATGGAAGACATTCTCGAAGGTCAGGGGAAAGCTTGCGGCGGTGGTGGTGGCGCTTGTTGCCAGACCTTCCTGGTTCAGCGTCAGAGTGGCCTTGTGGGAGGCGCGGCTGATGTGGTAGTTGACGGAAGAGTCAGCGTTGATCTCCAGACCGGCTGTGTTCAGGGCTCCGGAGAGTAGGGAGTAGGCACGGTTCTCGGTATCATCAGCCTGGTTCTCTACACTGATGCTGGCTTCATTCCTAGAGGCGGTGAAGTCCACTTGGCTGCGGATCATTTTCTTTTTAGCCTTGGTCACAGAGTCAGTCTTGATGGTCAGCTGGGCCTCCTTGTAGCCAATGCTGAACTTGGTGGTGTGCTTAATGGGGTTGTTGTTCAGGTTGGTGTTGGACTCAATCAGAAGCTGCTCATCAGCATAGCTGGCCTTCAGCCTGTTGATAATCTCCAGGATTGGGGAGTTCACCCTCAGTGTGGACTCGGCTCTGGCTTCTTTCTTTATGGGCTTGACAGAGAAGGACTGGGAATAGGTGGTGCTGGCGGTCATGGACCCAAGGGTTACACTACCATCCATATTAGCATCTCCGATGAGCATGCCAGAGGCCAGGGAGGCCTGGGAAGTGATGTCCAGGGATGTCTGCAGACCCAGAGGGCTGAAGGCCTGAATCTTGTGGTTGCCTGTGGCTCTAACTTTGTCTGACACACTGACAGTTTCCATGACCTCAAAGCTGCTGTCAATGAGCTTGTGGCTCAGTGAACCATTCACAATAGCCTTCAGAGAGTATTCTGGCATGTCAGTGATGAGGGCAGTTCCTATAAAGAGACAAAACAAGGGACATGAAATCACTATAGTACACACAAGGTAAATTAGTCAAACTGACTTAAGGTAAGTTATATTGTATAATCTAATTTGAAGTTATAATGTTATATGTCCCCCCTCCAAAATAATACAGATAATACGGCAATCTGTAAAACGCCTTTCTGATTCGGATTTTAAATTAACTATATGCTTTTGATAAGGTTATAAAAAATATAAAAGTTAAGAGTAAAGGTTTACCTTCAGATGTGAAAGCGAGGAGTTCAATTGGACTGTCAACGACCACCTTAAACTGAGCAATGTAGCTGGGGGACTCCACAGAGTTGTTGCCACCGGAGACCATGCCCTCCCAGTTGTAGTAGTTGCTGTTCACCTTAGCAGACATTTCGACCATTCCGAAGAGTGGCACAGAGAGGTCGTAGTTGGAGGGGATGGAGAAGGTGGGGACCTGGACATCCTTGGAGGCAAGCTCCAGACCGACCTGGGGCATGGACAGACTTGGGGTGGTCAGCATGGCAGGGATCCTCAGCTCCTCAGATGATTTTCCTCCGAGTGGCATGGGGATGCTGATGGTGACACGGTCCTTGTTGAACTGGTATTTGAATGTGCTCTCACTGTTGAAGGAATTAAAGAATGCAAATAGTTTGTTACTATCAATGAGATGTCTATGGATGGACTTTTTGGACACTGACATCACATAGATTACTAGGCAACAAAGAAAAGAGACTCAAAAAGAGTTAACTGCTTTCAGATGTGCTTACGATTTCAGGTACAGTCTCTTGGGCATAGTGGGCATTGCCAGCTCTGGCATGTTGTCCTTCAATGTCTCAACCATGGGAACATCAGTGGTGATCTTGTCCAACCAATTGTTGCTGGCCTGTTAAAAAATTGGTTTAACTTCTATGGAAATTGAAAGAATTGAGGTGACTATGAAAAGGATTTAGGTGTTATGTCTTACCTCAAGAGACTTGATGAAGATGTGACTCAGTTTCATGTCGGTCTTGACCACCTGCTGGTCCAGAATGTCCTCAGAGAGTTGCTTCAGCCAAGCCTGAAGGGCTTCGGTGTTAGGGATAAGCTTCTGGATCTCGGAGCCCATGTCGGACACCAGCTGAACCTGAACCTTGTTCTCATCTAAAAGGAACATATGCTGTATTATTAGTACATTCAACTTTGAACATTATGTCCATTTCATACAAGTGAAATAAACATAATCACACATAAAGTGAACATAAAGTGAAAATCACATAAAGATCAGCCCTCCACCCCACACAGTGGTGTGTTATCAATTTGTAGAATTAGCGTACCATATTTGAAGATGATTCCCTGAAAGCAGGTGGTCTCGGGGAGCTTGATGTCACTCCTGAGCTCCAGGGTGAGTTCCTCTGCACTCTTCATGGTGGCAGTTATAGCTGCATCAGTCTTGAAGGCAGGGACAACCAGCTGGACCTGCACCATACCGTCGATCATGTTCTTAAGCCTGGAGGAAAGAAAACCATCAGAATCTCTTAGTGATTCAATTAATTTCCAATGTGTGCTGATCTATGAAGACAAGGACCAATGAATGTGGCTAATGGGGAGGGCTTTTGCGTTTACTTACTTGGCACGGCCAATCAGAGACAGCTGAGGGATGTTCTTGTTGGTGATGTCAATGGTGATGGACTTTCCATTGGCTCTGCTGTCGGTGAGACCAACACTGATTCCTGCCTCCACATCGTAGTCGGGGATCTGGACGTTGGTGGTCAGGACGTTCCTGTTCCTGTTGTACTTCATGGTGGCGGTGGCCTCAGTGGGTTCAGCACCTAAAGAAACAAGGAGGAGGAGAGTGTTTGTCCCAGAGGGCAATTGGTTTTGCAACAAAGGAACATAAAAAACAACATTGAACATATAAAATCCATATGGATCATAATGCCACACAGTTATAGTGAATACAATGAGCTAGTATATCAAGTCATAGGGCTGACAGCCATCAATACAAATACACTACATTACCAAAAGTATGTGGAGACCTGCTCGTCGAACATCTCATTCCAAAATAATGGGCATTAATATGGAGTTGGTCCCCCCTTTGCTACTATAACAACCTCCACTCTTCTGGGAAGGCTTTCCACTAGATGTTGGAACATTGCTGTGGGGACTTGCTTCCATTCAGCCACAAGAACATTAGTGAGGTCGGGCACTGATGTTGGGCGATTAGGCCTGGCTCATAGTCGGCATTCTATTTCATCCCAAAGGTTTTCGATGGGGTTGAGGTCAGGGCTCTGTGCAGGCCAGACAAGTTCTTCCACACCAATCCCGACAAACCATTTTTGTATGGACCTTTGTGCACGGGAGCTTTATCATGCTGAAACAGGAAAGGGCCTTCCCCACAGAATCGCCCAGAATCGTCTAGAATGTCATTGTATGATGTAGTGTTAAGATTTCCCTTCACTGGAACTAAGGGGCCTAGCCCGAACCATGAAAAACAGCCCCAGACCATTATACCTCCTCCACCAAACTTTACAGTTGGCACTATATATTGGGACAGTTGGCGTTTTTCTGGCATCCGCCAAACCCTGATTCGTCTGTCGGACTGCCAGATGGTGAAGCGTGATTCAGAGAACGCGTTTCCACTGCTCCAGAGTCCAATGGTGGCGAGCTTTACACCACTCCAGCCGACACTTGCAATTGTGCATGATGATCTTAGGCTTGTGTGCGGCTGCTCAGCCATGGAAACCCATTTCATGAAGCTCCCGACGAACAGTTCTTGTGCTGACATTGCTTCCAGAGGCAGTTTGGAACTCAGTAGTGAGTGTTGCAACCGGGGACAGACGATTTCTACGCGGTGCGCGCTTCAGCGCTCGGTGGTCCTGTTCTGTGAGCTTGTGTGGCCTACCACTTCGTGGCTGAACTGTTGTTGCTCCTTGACATTTCCACTTCACAATAACAGCAAAAAAAGTATAGCAAGCCAAAATTGCCTAATAAGTAAAGTGGTCTGTGCATTCTTAGATCATCTCGTTAACAACATATCAACAATGTGCTGACAAAAACTAAAATGATCATCATCATCATTATCAACAACAACATATTACCATCGTCATCCTCAACATCATCATCATCCCTAGCCTACCTTCTTCTCTTCCCTGTATTCAAAAGGGCAATGGTCATGGGGGTGAAGGAGTGATTGTATCTGTTAGTCTTAATAGTGGGTAATCTAAACCAGGAGCCAGAGGGTAGGACCTGGAACTCATGGTGTAGGGGGTGGGCACAATCAGACAGAAAGGATTCTGCCTTCTTCACCACTTGTCTGTTGTACAGATCAGACCGACTACTCTGCTGGACTCCTGTGTTCTTACTGCCCACTTTCACTATTCTAGTTAGTGCCTTTTTTTTGCTTTGACACAAAGGTTGCCGTACCAGCAAATCAAAGACAATGTTAACGCAGACTTTATGTACGACTTATAAAAGAGAGTCATCAAGGTCCTGTCTACCTGGAACTTTGCCAGTTTCCCGAGACAAAAAAGGCGTTGCTTGCCCTTCTTACACAAAAATGTCAGTGTTACACTCAAAGTTCAATTTATTATCAATTATTGTGCCAAGATACTTGTATTTGTCAACAGTGTCTACCACCTGGCCATTGATGATAGGGTTCAGAGGAGTAGGGGGTTGATGCCTCAAATCAATACACATATCTTTGGTTTTTGTCACATTCAGCTGTAAGAACGCAACAATGTACAAAATCATAAACAACAGGATCGTGGGCAGTTTCATCGGCATGAAGGAGACTGACTATTACAGTCGTCCACTTCAGTTGTCCAACTTCAGGATGTGTCGGTTCTCATACTGGCTACGACAATTATCAGTGTATAGGATATAGAGGAGTGGTGAGAGGACACACTCCTGGGGTGAGCCTGTTGATGATGACAGCTCCCCCGACAAGTACCCATTCACACTCACCCTCTAGATTATGTTGGTTAGAAAGTCAAGTATCCAGCCCACTACATGAGAACCTACACCAAAATTATTAGTGAGTTAGTTCACTAACAGGTGGGGTTGAATGGTGTTAAAAGCAGACCTCTAGATGTTTGCATAGAAGGTCAAGTAGGGTGACAGTAGCATCCTGTACACCCCGTTTAGCCCTATATGCAAACTGAAACGGATGAAGAAGGTGCTGTGTCTTGTCCAAAAGCTCCTTCTTAATCAGTTTCTCAAAGGACTTCATGACCAAGGAGGTCAAGGTGACTGGTCTGTAGTCATTAAGAACCTTTGGGTGGTTGTTCTTTGCGACTGGGATCACAGTAGACTGTTTCCATAGATTCGGCACCCTCTGCTGGTTGAGTGACAACTTAAAGACGTAATTAAAGATAGGGCCTAGTTGCTCTGCACAGGTGAGCAGGCGGCTAGCTATGTTTTAAGGTCTGAGGCTTTTTCTAGGTTTGCTCTGTCTAAAGGTGTTAACCACACAAATTGAGTTGATTCATACCACTGCTATATATTGAAAAAATACCAAAGCATTAACCATGGGAAATTTAGTGCTTAGACAGAGATGTTCCTACCCTCTGCTCTCAGGATCATCATCACAGTGTCAACCTTTTGGCGTCCCTCCTTGCCCTCGCTGAGGAGCTCATAGGCGAAGGTGGCGGTGTACTCCGAGACCTCGCCAGTGGGCTGGATGTCAACAGCAAACCTAGGAGAGAGACTGTTGTTTAGTATGATGCTAGTGTGACCTTCAAATATGATTAGCAATAACCTTCTATAAACCCATCCAAACTCCCTAAAATGTTGTACTTACTTAGTCTCTCCGTTGAGAGGGAAATAGGGAGCGGCAGCGTTGTCACCAGCGATGTTGTAACGGACGGTGGTGCAGTACTTCACTCCAGAGAAGAGAGGGCTGCATTTCACGATGTTGGTCCTGCCCTCATCCATGGGGGGGATCAGAGTAGCCTGACCAGAGGTCACTGTCAGCATTCTGTTACTATTGTTGAAGAAGTGCAGAAGAACAAAATCACTGACAAATCATATGACTTTTGATACATTTACTCAATAGAAAATGAGCTTTTTTTTATTTATTTACTTTTTGAGGTACATTTTCTTTTACCTGACTCTGAAGAGCTGTGTGGAGCCCCGAGGAGCGGGGATTCTCAGCTTGATCTGGTTCTGCTCCATGGTGATCTTGGCATTGACGGCGCTCTCGTGGTACATGTTAGTGTGCATCTCCACAGCGGAGATGACAAACTCTGGGATGTGGACTCCCATCTGGGTGACGAACTCCACTCCCACAGAGGGCATGAAGGACACTTCCTGCTGTTAAAACATAGCAGTGAGAGGCACATTAGAAAACTTGGTTATATGTATAAATGCTTATAAATATTTAATATATTATTACTACCAATGTTATAAATGCTTGAGAATGTTTATAAATATTTACAAACAATGTGATACAAATGTATAAATTATATGAAAAACTACTGTTACTGAAAATGAAATACAAAATTGAATTAGTATTTTCCGAAAGAATGTTAAGTGCAGTAAGATAGTAGATAACAGAGAATGGGATATTTACCATGTTACGCTGAATGCGGAGGCCTCCCTTAGCTCCGGGGGCAAAGGTACCGGACAGAGAGAACTTAAGAGGGAAGCCAGAGGCAGTTGACAGAGAGAACTTGTTGTCCATGAAGATGTAATGGGCGAACAATTCATTGTTAGTGCTTGCCACCATCTTCTGCATGACCTAAACCCAGGGAAGAAATTAATTGATGTTATAATAATAAATGTTGTACATTAAATTGTTCTCAGCAGGAAATAGCATAAAACGAGTGTTCTTCACACTTGGAGGTACAGGTAGATGTATGCAGGTGAATTACCTCTGTGGGCATGGTCTTGAGGAGGATCTCAGCATACATGGCTGCATATTGGGCCATGCCCTTCAGCTCGCTGCCCTTGATGTATCCAAGCTCAGTTCCCATGATCCTCAGGTAGGCCATGGCTTCAGGGGACTCCTGAGCCTGCAGGTCATTTGCCAGCTTGTTGAAGTTGCGGATAATTTCCCTCATGAGGTTCTCTGGGACCTGAACAAAAGGTTTGAGTAGAGTTAACACACATTGATCAAATAATGCAAACTGAATGTGAGCATGCAGGGGAGTAATAAAAACATGACAAGATGTGTGGTAACCTTAGTTTTCTCGTTCTTCAAGGGGGCAGCAAAGTTCTTCAGAACCTCGTTGACCTGGTCTGGCATCTTGTCTCCAGCCCAATACATAGCCTTGGACACAGTGTCGGGGAAGAACCCGTTCTTTCCGAACAGAGCCTCAATGGTTGGCTCAAAGCCTTTTCCTTCTATGCCAATCTATAGACAAAAGAACAATGCAATGTAGAGTAGATATATAACAAAATCACATTAGAAAGCCTGTTACTAGACATAAAAACATCTTTCTGTTTTTGCATACCTCCCACATGTCCATGTTATAGCCGAATGCCTTCAGGGTAGTCTCAAGCATGATCTCCCTGGGCAGTTGGCTGGTGGGATCAAAGATAATGTTTCCTTGCATGCTGGTCTTCATGCCAGTCATGGCAGCATCCATCTTGTAGTTGCGAGACATAGTAGCGTAGTCACCATGAGTGGTTGCAATGGTAGGGTCAGCAAGGACATCCATGATCTTGTCACCCAGCCTGAGTAGAAAAGCAAGAATATGGTGAAAATGTATTAATATTAAGTAGATAGGTACAGTGCCTTGCAAAAGTATTCATCCCCCTTGGCCTTTTTCCTATTTTGTTGCATTACAACCTGTAATTTAAATGGATTTTTATTTGGATTTCATGTAATGGACATACACAAAATAGACCAAATTGGTGAAGTAAAATGAAAAAAAGTACTTATTTCAAAAAATTCTCTAAAATAAATAACGGCAAAGTGGTGTGTGCATATGTATTCACCCCTTTTGCTATGAAGCCCCTAAATGAGATCTGGTGCAACCAATTACCTTCAGAAGTCACAAAATTAGTTAAATAAAGTCTACCTGTGTGCAATCTAAGTGTCACATGATCTGTCACATGATATCAGTATATATACACCTGTTCTGAAAGGTCCCAGAGTCTGCAACACCACTAAGCAAGGGGCACCACCAAGCAAGTGGCACCATGAAGACCAAGGAGCTCTCCAAACAGGTCAGGGACAAAGTTGTAGAGAAGTACAGATCAGGGTTGGGTTATAAAAAAATATCGAACATTTTGAACATCCCACGGAGCACCATTAAATCCATTATTAAAGAATTGAAAGAATATGGCACCACAACAAACCTGCCAAGAAAGGGCCGCCCACCAAAACTCACGGACCAGGCAAGGAGGACATTAATCAGAGAGGCAACAAAGAGACCAAAGATAACCCTGAAGGAGCTGCGAAGCTCCACAGCGGAGATTGGAGTATCTGTCCAAAGGACCACTTTAAGCCATACACTCCACAGAGCCGGGCTTTACGGAAGAGTGGCCAGAAAAAAGCCATTGCTTAAAGAACAAAATAAGCAAACACGTTTGGTGTTCGCCAAAAGGCATGTCGGAGACTCCCCAAACATATGGAAGAAGGTACTCTGGTCAGATGAGACTAAAATTGAGCTTTCTGGCCATCAAGGAAAACGCTATGTCTGGCGCAAACCCAACACCTCTCATCACCCCGAGAACACCATCTCCACAGTAAAGCATGGTGGTGGCAGCATCATGCTGTGGGGAGGTTTTTCATCGGCAGGGACTGGGAAACTGGTCAGAATTGAAGAAATGATGGATGGCGCTAAATACAGGGAAATTCTTGAGGGAAACCTGTTTCAGTCTTCCAGAGATTTGAGACTGGGACAGAAGTTCACCTTCCAGCAGGACAATGACCCTAAGCATACTGCTAAAGCAACACTTGAATGGTTTAAGGGGAAACATTTACATGTCTTGGAATGGCCTAGTCAAAGCCCAGACCTCAATCCAATTGAGAATCTGTGGTATGACTTAAAGATTGCTGTACACCAGCGGAACCCATCCAACTTGAAGGAGCTGGAGCAGTTTTGCCTTTAAGAATGGGCAAAAATCATACCCCAAGAGACTTGTAGCTGTAATTGCTGCAAAAGGTGGCTCTACAAAGTATTGACTTTGGGGGGGGGGGGGGGGGTGAATAGTTATGCACGCTCAAGTTTTCTGTTTTTTTGTCTTAGTTTCACAATAGAAAAGATTTTGCATCTTCAAAGTGGTAGGCATGTTGTGTAAATCAAATAATACAAACCACCCAAAAATCAATTTTAATTCCAGGTTGTAAGGCAACAAAGTAGGAAAAATGCCAAGGGGGGTGAATACTTTCGCAAGCCACTGTAGAACACTAGATAGTTGACTATTTTGGTGGTCAAAATTATGATAGTCTGTTTCAGAGGAAGTTTATACATACTTCATGGTCTCGGGGTCATTGGAGTGGATGATGTTGTAGATATGAGAGGTCACAAAGGCCTTGACCTGCGCATTCTGCTCCTGGACCTCTGGTTTCTGCTCCTGCATCGATGCCTTCAGTATTTTCTTCACCAGCTCCAGGTCACTTGCCCCAGGTGTCCTCATCAGAATCAGGTAGGCTGCCAGTCTCTTCTGCACGGCACCCTTAGAGTATGAGCTCACTCTCTGGAGGTTAGAGCGCACCTGGAAATGAAAACAAAATGGCAGCTAATTAGTTAAAGGAGAATGCGTGCTACAGTATAGCAGTGCAGGGCCCTTATGCACAAAGAGTATCAGAGTAGGAGTGCTGATTGGATCATAATGAACAACATTATATGGATAAGGAGGACGTGATCCTTGATCATTACTTTTCTCAGAGACACTTTTTGAATACAGGCCCATTTTATTTGTATTTTTCAAGTTTGTATTGGAGTTTGCATATAGTTTACCTCATCGGTCACAGACATGCGTCTGAAGGCCTGGATGGCGGCGAGCTGCACCTGCAGGGTTGTGGCGGGCTGTCTCATGCACTTCAGCAGGGTGGTCTTCATGGTAGCGTCGGCAGCCTCCATGGCCTCTCCAATGTTGCCAACAACCTGGACGCCATTACAAAAAGAGAGATTCAGATAAACAAGCAATGAAGTCGAACTTTCCATGTCATGTGATTAGGTGGGAAGTAGCTGATTGGTTGAGCAACAACATACCCTCAGGGTCAGGAAGGTCAGATCCTTCTCTCCAGTGCATTCAGCACCCAGAAGGGAGGCGAGGAACTCAGACACAGCAGTGATCTCGGGGGTGACTTTGCCCTCAGCCTGGTAGAGCCTAGTAACACAAAACAAGAGGGTGGCAATGAACATTTGGACCACAATGTTTATTCAACTAAATTGAAACCATAAGTCATTGTCCGTCACCGTCGATAACCAAGTAGAGCATACATTTTGGACTTACTTTCTGACAACGTTACCTAGAGAAAACATGATGGGCTTGCTCTGTTTGTACTGAGCCATGCTGAGCATGTCTTTGACCAGGAGGCGGGAGGGGTGGGGCAGGAGTCCCAGGGCATAGACGGCAGCATCAACCTCAATAGATTCAGTCCCAAAGGTCCTGAGGTGCTGGAGCATGGCACTGCTGCACTCGGGGGTACCACACTGAGCCAGGGCCTGCCAGGTCAGGGCGTACGACACGGACACCATCTCGGGGACGGCGGGGCTCATAGTCTCACCCTTCAGTCCACGGAGCTCGGCCACGAGTCTCTGGAAGGTGCTAGCACGCTGGTGGCCCTGGTTGGTCTCGGACAGGTTGTTCAGTTCCCTCATGGTGGCAAGAGCAGCATTTGCGGTTTGGACGGCAGCTTTGTCCTCAGCGGCTTCCATGGGCAGACCCTTGAGGTTGGCCTCATCTTCAGAGAGTAAAATATATGTTTTCGAGATAATTTTGTAATGGCCGCCTGGTACAGTACACATACTGTTCATAATTTTGGTAAAAGCTGAATTTTGTCCTGTTTTTTAAGGTTGAACAGTAAAGGGAACTATGAGAGGAAATTCTTACTGTGGTTGAAGACTCTTTCGTTGATCTTGCTTGTCTCCAGGAGAGTCAAAGTCTGTTTCACCAGTGTTGACACTCCATACTCAGTCCTGCATTTGGGAAACAGGATGGAAGAACATTTGATGAATCACAAACTGGCCAGGATCATATCTGGGCTAACATCATTGCAGACTCAGTATGCTATTCACTGGAAAAACAGATATGTAGTTGTCTGGACTTACTGGTGGGAGAAAGGCAGGAAAATGTGATTCTCAGTGCAGGATCCAGCAGTCATGTGCTTTTTCTGATTGTCAAACTTGTAATTGCAAGTCTGGGTGCTGCTGATCAGCTTGGACAGTGGGTATTGCTGTTGACAGGGAACCAGAATCAAATGCTTTGTCAGGAACAACAATCATGGTGGGTTTATGGTGTAAATTAATACAACTATGATATTCAATTCAAATGTAGTGCTTAATCGAAGAATTACCAAATGTTTTTTTTGTAAAGGATCGCCATCAAGTTTAGTTTTTTCCCCCCTCTTACCATGCCAGAGATGATAGCCAGGGGGCTGGTGTGGTCCCTCTGGGCAATGAAGCTGTCACATTTGGACAGGTCCCTGGTGACGGTGACATCAGTGGCTATGTCTTCCCTGGAGTTAACGGTGAAGTCAGTCTCACACACTCCATGAAGGGTGGCCTGAAAGTTGTGAGAGTTTTTGTATGAGTGAAAGAATATTATTTATTTTAATAACTTTTATCTATTCAGGGAAACCCAATTGAGACCAGTGTCTCATTAACAATAGTGCCCTGAGGACAAAAAGTACATCAATACAGCAACAACAACAAGAAAATATATATAAAAAACTACAAGACAGCTAAAAATACATTACATCAGGTTATTACATGTTATTATAATCAATTGAAACAACTCCTTTAACAGTTTTAAACTGTCATTTGTTTTGTAAGGTATTCCATAACTGTGGTGCATTAAAAATGAAGGCGGATTTACCAAACTTTGTGGCGTAAAGAGGGACCTCAAGAGTTAACAAACACTGCGAAGAGCTTTGGCAGCTCATATTTTTATATTCCAAAAGGGAAGTGAGGTATGTTGGAAGCTTGTGGAACAGAGCTTTTTAAACAAGAAGGGAGTAATGAAGTGAGCTACACGACTTTAGCGAGGTCCATTCATCCATTTCAGGAGAGGAAGTATCTATTATTAGGTTTACACAGTATACTTTGCCATCTGTGTTTCCTTTTCACGACTGTTCCCAAAAAGGCTATCTACAGTATATAGATCTAGAATGGTCAACTCCATATAATAGATAGAGCACAGGAGGAGCCACACTGTCTTAACATAAGGCTATTAAGGACTTTAACCTGCAGCTTTATACTGTATATGGTGGTGTCATTCTAGGGAGTCATTCTAACAACTTGTGGTTTGATATTTATCACCCTGATATAGCACAAACAAAATCCAATTGCCTTGATGACCAGACCTTAGTACTGTTATTTCACGTCACTGAATAATTGGCAGTGAGATGGCAGGTGAGGAAATTACTGTTGTCAGCTCTTACCATGTCCTTGTTCTTCTCCTCCTCCAAAGCAGGCACGATTAAAGCAGAGACAATTCCTCTTTTGATGTTCAAGATGGTGATGGTCTCATCCTCCTCAGGGAAGAGTTTCACACCTGTCTGTCCCTCAACCATGACCTTCAGGGGGTTCCTGTTCAAGAAAGGGGTGATCATCTTAGTAACTACTTATTTCGTATACTTTTATTCTACCATGAAGGGTTATAAAGAAATTGAAAAGGTCTGTAAATCCCTGTGGGATAAAAGTGACATGATAACGTACTTCTCCATGGCAGCCTGGAAAGCCTCAGCACCAGCAGCGGGCATGAACACAGGGGAACCCTCTGCGTCAACGTCAATGACTTCGCTCAGAGAGCACTCTGTGGTGCGCAGGATAAAACTGCATGTTTGGGGCACATCGATTTCAACCTGTGAGACGAAGGAGAAAAGGAATGGTCAGAGGACTGTTCGTTTAATGTTCCCTTCTATAAGGGAGGAATGGAAGTTATTTAAATGTATTATTATGATTTTATTTTTTCTCTCTTAAGGGGGTAGATCAGCTTTAATATTGCAGATAGATTGTAGCTTCCATCAATGTAATTGTCTGCATCACTTCCAATCCCCCATATATTTTTTTGCAAATATATATACATATACATACAGTTGAAGTAGTAAGTGGTCCTCTGTAGCTCAGCTGGTAGAGCACGGCGCTTGTAACGCCAAGGTAGTGGGTTTGATCCCCGGGACCACCCATACACAAAAATGTATGCACGCATGACTGTAAGTCGCTTTGGATAAAAACGTCTGCTAAATGGCATAATATTATTATAAGTTTACATACACCTTAGCCAAATACATTTAAACTCAGTTTTTCACAATTCCTGACATTTATTCCTAGTAAAAATTCCCTGCCTTATGTTAGTTAGGATCACCACTTTATTTCAAGAATGTGAAATGTCCGAATAATAGTAGAGAGAATGATTTATTTCAGCTTTTATTTCTTTCATCACATTCCCAGTGGGTCAGAAGTTTACATACACGCAATTAGTATTTGGTAGCATTGCCTTTAAATTGTTTAACTTGGGTCAAACATTTCAGGTAGCCTTCCACAAGCTTCCCACAATAAGTTGGGTGAAATTTGGCCCATTCCTCCAGACAGAGCTGGTGTAACTGAGTCAGGTTTGTAGGCCTCCTTGCTCGCACACTCTTTTTCAGTTCTGCCCACACATTTTCTATAGGATTGATGTCAGGGATTTGTGATGGCCACTCCAATACCTTGACTTGCCATTTTGCCACAACTTTGGAAGTATGCTTGGGGTCATTGTCCATTTGGAAGACCCATTTGCGACCAAGCTTTAACTTCCTGACTGATGTCTTGAGATGTTAATTCAATATATCCACATAATTTTCCTTCCTCATGATGCCATCTATTTTGTGAAGTGCGCCAGTCCCTCCTGCAGCAAAGCACCCCCACAGCATGACACTGCCACCTCCGTGCTTCACGGTTGGGATGGTGTTCTTCGGCTTGCAAGCAACCCCCTTTTTCCTCCAAACATAACAATGGTAATTATGGCCAAACAGTTCTATTTTTGTTTCATCAGACCAGAGGACATTTCTCCAAAAACTAAGATCTTTGTCCCCATGTGCAGTTACAAACCGTATTCAACTATGCCTCTGTCTATCCCTGTTCTCTCCTCTCCGCACAGGCTATACAAACTCCTCACACCGCGTGGCTGCTGCCTCTCTAACCTGGTGGTCCCTGCACGCACCACCCACGTGGAGTTCCAGGTCTCAGGCAGCCTCTGGAACTGCTGTTCTGCTGCCAACAAGGCAGAGTTCATCTCAGCCTATGCTACCCTCCAGTTCCTCGACTTCTTGGCGCTGACGGAAACATGGATTACCACTGAAAACACTGCTACTCCTACTGCTCTCTCCTCGTCTGACCATGTGTTCTCGCATACCCCGAGAGCATCTGGTCAGCGGGGTGGTGGCACAGGAATCCTCATCTCTCCCAAGTGGACATTCTCTATTTTTCCCCTGACCCATCTGTCTATCTCCTCATTTGAATTCCATGCTGTCGCAGTCACTAGCCCATTTAAGCTTAACATCCTTGTCATTTATCGCCCTCCAGGTTCCCTTGGAGAGTTCATCAATGAGCTTGACGCCTTGATAAGTTCCTTTCCTGAGGATGGCTCACCCCTCACAGTTCTGGGGACTTCAACCTCCCTACGTCTACCTTTGACTCATTTCTCTCTGCCTCCTTCTTTCCACTCCTCTCCTCTTTTGACCTCACCCTCTCACCGTCCCCCCCTACTCACAAGGCAGGCAATACGCTTGACCTCATCTTTACTAGATGCTGTTCTTCTACTAATCTCACTGCAACTCCCCTCCATGTCTCCGACCACTACTTTGTATCCTTTTCTCTCTCGCTCTCCTCCAACACTACTCACTCTGCCCCTACTCAGATGGTAATGCGCCATCGCAACCTTCGCTCTCTCTCTCCCGCTACTCTCTCCTCTTCCATCCTATCATCTCTTCCCTCTGCTCAACCCTTCTCCCTCCAATCTCCTGATTCTGCCTCCTCAACCCTCCTCTCCTCCCTTTCTGCATCCTTTGACTCTCTATGTCCCCTATCCTCCCGGCCGGCTCGGTCCTCCCCTCCAGCTCCGTGGCTTGATGACTCATTGCGAGCTCACAGAACAGGGCTCCGGGCAGCCGAGCGGAAATGGAGGAAAACTAGACTCCCTGCGGACCTGGCATCTTTTCACTCCCTCCTCTCTACATTTTCTTCATCTGTTTCTGCTGCTAAGGCCACTTTCTACCACTCTAAATTACAAGCATCTGCCTCTAACCCTAGGAAGCTCTTTGCCACCTTCTCCTCCCTGCTAAATCCTCCTCCCCCTCCCCCACCTCCTCCCTCTCTGTGGATGACTTCATCAACCATTTTGAAAAGAAGGTTGACGACATCCAATCCTCATTTGTTAAGTCAAATGACACTGCTGGTCCTGCTCACCTGCCCTACCCTATGCTTTGACTTCTTTCTCCCCTCTCTCTCCAGATAAAATCTTGCGACTTGTGACGGCCGGCCGCCCAACAACCTGCCCGCTTGACCCTATCCCTGCCTCTCTTCTCCAGACCATCTCCGGTGACCTTCTCCCTTACCTCACCTCGCTGATCAACTCATCCTTTACCGCTGGCTATGTCCTTTCCGTCTTCAAGAGAGCGAGAGTTGCACCCCTTCTCAAAAAACCAACACTCGATCCCTCTGATGTCAACAACTACAGACCAGTATCCCTTCTTTATTTTCTCTCCAAAACTATTGAGCGTGCCATCTTTAGCCAACTCTCTTGCTATCTCTCTCAGAATGACCTTCTTGATCCAAACCAGTCAGGTTTCAAGACTGGTCATTCAACTGAGACTGCTCTTCTCTGTGTCATGGAGGCTCTCCGCACTGCTAAAGCTAACTCTCTCTCCTCTGCTCTTGTCCTTCTAGACCTGTCTGCTGCCTTTGATACTGTGAACCATCACTCTTGGATTGCGTCCTACCTGACCGGTCGCTCCTACCAAGTGGCGTGGCGAGAAGCTGTCTCCGCACCACGTGCTCTCAACACTGGTGTCCCCCAGGGCTCAGTTCTAGGCCCTCTCCTATTCTCGCTATATACCAAGTCACTTGGCTCTGTCATATCCTCACATGGCCTCTCCTATCATTGCTACGCAGACAACACACACCTAATCTTCTCCTTTCCCCCTTCTGATAACCAGGTGGCGAATCGCATCTCTGCATGTCTTGCAGACATATCAGTATGGATGACGGATCACCACCTCAAGTTGAACCTTGGCAAGACGGAGCTGCTCTTCCTCCCGGGGAAGGACTGCCCGTTCCATGATCTCGCCATCATGGTTTACAACTCTGTTGTGTCCTCCTCCCAGAGTGCGAAGAGCCTTGGCGTGACCCTGGACAACACCCTGTCGTTCTCCGCTAACATCAAGGCGGTGACCCGATCCTGTAGGTTCATGCTCTACAACATTCGGAGAGTACGACCCTGCCTTACACAGGAAGCGGCACAGGTCCTAATCCAGGCACTTGTCATCTCCCGTCTGGATTACTGCAACTCGCTGTTGGCTGGGCTCCCTGCCTATGCCATTAAACCCCTACAACTCATCCAGAATGCCGCAGCCCGTCTGGTGTTCAACCTTCCCAAGTTCTCTCACGTCACCCCGCTCCTCCGCACACTCCACTGGCTTCCAGTTGAAGCTCGCATCTGCTACAAGACCATGGTGCTTGCCTACGGAGCTGTGAGGGGAACGGCACCTCCGTACCTTCAGGCTCTGATCAATCCCTACATCCAAACGAGGGCATTGCGTTCATCCACCTCTGGCCTGCTGGCTCCCCTACCTCTGCGGAAGCCCAGTTCCCGCTCAGCCCAGTCAAAACTGTTGACTGCTCTAGCACTCCAAGGGTGGAACAAGCTCCCTCAAGACGCCAGGACAGCGGAGTCACTCACCACCTTCCGGAGACATTTGAAACCCCACCTCTTTAAGGAATACCTGGTATACCTGCTAAATGACGTAAATGTAAATGTAAATGTAGTCTGGCTTTTCTATGGCGGTTTTGGAGCAGTGGCTTCTTCCTTGCTGAGCGGCCTTTCAGGTTATGTCGATATAGGACTTGTTTTACTGTGGATATAGATACTTTTGTACCTGTTTCCTCCAGCATCTTCACAAGGTCCTTTGCTGTTGTTCTGGGATTGATTTGCACTTTTCGCACCAAAGTACGTTCATCTCTAGGAGACAGAACGCGTCTCCTTCCTGAGTGGTATGACGGCTGAGTGGTCCCATAGTGTTTATACTTGCGTCCTATTGTTTGTACAGATGAACGTGGTACCTTCAGGCGTTTGGAAATTGCTCCCAAGGATGAACCAGACTTGAGGAGGTCTACAATTTTTTATCTGAGATCTTGGCTGATTTCTTTTGATTTTCCCATGACGTAAAGCAAAGAGGCACTGAGTTTGAAGGTAGGCCTTGAAATACATCCACAGGTAGACCTCCAATTGCAATTCCAAATTATGTCAATTAGCCTATCAGAAGCTTCTAAAGCCATGACATCATTTTCTGGAATTTTCCAAGCTGTTTAAAGGCACAGTCAACTTAGTGTATGTAAACTTCTGACCTACTGGAATTGTGATACAGTGAATTATAAGTGAAATAATCTGTCTGTAAACAATTGTTGGAAAAATTACTCGTGTCATGCACGAAGTAGATGTCCTAAGCGACTTGCCAAAACTATAGTTTGTTAACAAGAAATTTGTGGAGTGGTTGAAAAACTAGTTTTAATGACTCCAACCTAAGTGTATGTAAACTTCCAACTTACATTTTTCATTTTAGTCATTTAGCAGACGCTCTTATGCAGAGAGACTTACAGTTAGTGAGTGCATACATTATTATTTTTTATTTTTCATACTGGCCCCCCATGGGAATTGAACCCACAACCCTGGCGTTGCAAATGCCATGCTCTACCAACTGAGCTACATCCATGCCGGCCAGTCCCTCCCCTACCCTGGACGACACTGGGCCAATTGTGCGCCGCCCCATGGGTCTCCCGGTCAGTACACAGTGCCACCCACAGAACAGAAGCAGATTAACCTCTAAAAGTATTCCCAATGCTCTCGCCTCAATTTGCCTTATATATACCTATTAAAAATATATATCTATTCAAATATCTTGCATATCTTAATTTCCATTATTAACAATTAATATGCGTAATAATGTCGGCAGTTCATTCAAAGGATTGTTACCTATAACCAGGATTGCCATTGCATTGCATTTTTGTCAAGCAATTACTATTTTAGCACACAATTATTGTGATTCATCCTATATTGTCCCTAACATCCTTACCCCCTTGCAACAGATGTGGGATACACACACACACACACACACACACACACACACACACACACACACACACACACACGCGCACACACACACACACACACGCACACACACACACTCTTACACACTCTTACACACTCAACCCCTTTCAACCACAATCAACCATAAGCTCAGATGCTCAAATGTTGTTACATCCCAGAGCCCAACTCAAGAAAGGACCTGATTTACGAATGCATATACAGTTACAGCTGTTTGAGAAAGCATGCAAGATTGAGCAAAAATGTGAGATTTGATTAACCAATGTCAAGTTCTAGGTGACGAAGATCCGATCCACCCTCCTCCCATGAAACACACACACTCTGGTCCCCCGTTGTGACCCTTTTTCCCCAGCATCTCTGTGCAGTCAGACCTTTGATTATTTTGTGCCACCAGGGCCACAATAATATGCCCCTTCTCTGATTGTCCGAGTGTGACCCCCTCCCCATGGGTTACTGCAGCCAGTGTTGCCAGCACTGCCACTACCTGAGTGGGGGTACCCCACCGGAATCCCCACCGGCTAGGTACAAGGTCGTCAAGGTTCTCATTAACAGCTTTGAGGAATGGAAGTTGAGCAAAAGCACAGAAGAGTTGATTGAGGGCTCTGGGTTCAGCTGTCTGTCACGTACCTTGCAGGTGACTTTAGGGCCATTCTTGAGGCTGGTAGCTCCATTTACGCCATTAAGGGTCTCGACTTCATACTCGTACACAAATCTCCTGAAGTTCTTGAACCTCTTTGCCACTAAGAAGAAGGGGGTATAAATGACATTGCAATTTAATGTATTAGCAAGAGGGGAGCAATAAGTACAGATTGGACATATGTTGAAAGACATCTTATCTCTAGTGAGATAAGGAGTTCTGGTTGACTATTGAGTAAGGAAACTGGCAAGTCAACCTGATACTGAACGGTGATCTCATCATAAGAGCTCAAAGTCCAGTGGTGGAAAAAGTACCCAATTGTCATACTTAAGTAAAAGTAAAGATGTCTTAACGCAAAATGACTTGATACAAAAAGTGAAAGTCACCCAGAAAAATACTACTTGAGTAAAAGTCTAAAAGTATTTGTTTTTAAATATACTTAAGTATCAAAAGTAAATGTAATTGCAAAAATATACTTAAGTATCAAAAGTTAAAGTATACATAATTTCAAATTGCTTATAATAAGCAAATCAGACGGCACAATTTTCTTGTATTTTTTTTATTTACAGATAGCCAGGGGCACACTACAACACGCAGACATAATTTACAAACAAAGCATTTGTGTTTAGTGAGTCCTCCAGATCAGAGGCAGTAGGGATGACCAGGGATGTTCTCTTGATAAGTGAGTGAATTGGACCATTTTCCTGTCCTGCTAAGCATTGAAAATGTAACGAGTACTTTTGGGTGTCAGGGAAAATGTATGGAGAACAAAGTACATTATTTTCTTTAGGATTGTAGTGAAGTAAAAGTAACAGTACTCAAAAATAGAAATAGTAAAGTACAGATACCTCAAAAAACGACTTAAGTAGTACTTTAAAGTATTTTTACTTAAGTACTTTACACCACTGCTGATTTGAGTAGGCTACAAGGAGTTATAACAAAGATTCACCTCTTCCTCTATGGTTATAACAAGCAGTGATTACTTCTCACAAAATCACCCTCCTTTTTGTTTAATCTCCCACCTGTTTTGGGTTCTGATGACATAAGAGACGCGTATTCGTTCAGAACTTTCCCATAATGACTGAGGTAAGCAGCAGTTTTGTTCTGTTCTGTTCGTTCCCTCTTTTTAAATGTTTAAATGTTTACAAATGAAGTGTATAAATCACGAAAATTCCCCATCATACTTGTATCGACACTACTTGTTTACTATATTAGCAATATTTTCAAGTGGAAAAACAGGTATTTTCATTTTAATCCTGAGGTAAAACAAAATCTCTTGAAGCTTCAAGCTAACAGTAGCTAGCAACATGGTTATTTCCTCCTATTTTCTCCTTGACATTTTGTAATTATTTTAGTTTAGAAGCTAGTTGAAAAACAAGTCTTCCCTAGGGACTATTTTATACTGTAATACCTTCATCTAAAATGTAAATGAAGAAAGAACAAACTTACAGAGACAAGTTGGAGATTGTCCATCAGCATTCCCAACATCTTGCTCTGTGAATGATGAAAATGAAAAAAAGCATTAGGAGAACAGTTACCAAATACCAGTGCACACAACATCCCCCATTAAAGAAAGTGTCTGTCTGTAAAATGTATTAGCTGCATATATTAATTATATATAGGCCTATGTCAATAAAAAAAAATTGGAAGTAGGGTACTCAGAATGAGGTATATTATATTTTGTTAAGGTCAGGCGTATTTCAACACAATCTGATGCTAACTGCACTACCAGAAAAGTGTTTTATAATAATGAAAATAATGTATTAAACAAGGACCTAAAAAACAATGTGTAAATTGCACTTTACTTACGGGCCAAGACACAGGCTGTGCCTAGCAGCAGCAAAAGGAAGAGCTTTGTATCTCCCATAATGGGCTGGAAGAAACTCTTGGAAGCGTTTGGGATTGGGGAATCCTCCTCTTTCATTGAAGACTGATTTCTCTGCTTTGGCTCTTGGCTTTTATAGTTCTCATATCTCTCTTTCAGAGATCCAGTACCGCCAGAGTACCACCCTGGATCCAAAGTTCAGACAATCCTTGCGGCAGGCCAAAGGTAACTAATTTCACAAACACTCCCAAGTCAGCACTGGATTTGATGGGACTCTCTGATTGTATTAGATTAGCATTTTGTTACAAACTAAGGTTTGACTGATTACTTGTCATGCTTTAGAAACAAGTGATCAAAATAAGGGGTTGACCACAATCATCAATACAACACACCATGACCAAAAGTATGTGGGCAACTATTCGTCGAACATCTCATTCCAAAATTATGGGCGTTAATATGGAGTTGGTCCCCTCCTTTGCTGCGATAACAGCCTCCACTCTTATGGGAAGGCTTTCCACTAGATGTTGGAATATTGCTGCGGCTTTCATTCAGCCACGAGAGCATTAGTGAGGTCGGGCACTGATGTTGGGCGATAGGCCTGGCTCGCAGTCGGCATTACAATTAATCCCAAAGGTGTTTGATGGGGTTAAGGTCAGGGCTCTGTGCAAGCAAGTCAAGTTCTTCCACACCGATCTCGACAAACCATTTCTGTATGGACCTTTACAGTTGGCACTATGCATTGGGGCATGCAGCATAATTAATCACTCCAGAGAACTTGTTTCCAACAGTTCTTGTGCTGACGTTGCTTCCAGAGGCAGTTTGGAACTTGGTAGTGAATGTTTTAACCGAGAACAGACGAGTTTTACGCGATACACGCTTCAAAATTCGGCGAATCCACTAATTTGAAGGGGTGTCCACATACGTTTGTATATACAGTACCAGTCAAAAATGCATTGGGGCATGCAGCATAATTCATCACTCCAGAGAACTTGTTTCCAACAGTTCTTGTGCTGACGTTGCTTCCAGAGGCAGTTTGGAACTCGGTAGTGAATGTTTCAACCGAGAATAGACGATTTTTACGCACTACACGCTTCAAAATTAGGCGAATCCACTAATTTGAAGGGGTGTCCACATATGTTTGTATATACAGTAGCAGTCAAAAAGTTGGACACACCTACTCATTCAAGGGTTTTTCTTTATTTTTACTATTTTCTACATTGTAGAATAATAGTGAAGACATCAACACTATGTAATAACTCATATGGAATCATGTAGTAACCAAAAAAGTGTTAAACAAATCAAAATGTATTTTATATTTGAGATTCTTCAAAGTAGCCACCCTTTGCCTTGATGACAGCTTTGCACACTCTTGGCATTCTCTCAACCAGCTTCACCTGGAATGCTTTTCAAACAGTCTTGAAGGAGTTCACACATATGCTGAGCACTTGTTGGCTGCTTTTCCTTCACTCTGCAGTCCAACTCACCCCAAACCATCTCAATTGTGTTGGGTCGGATGATTGTGGAGGCCAGGTCATCTAATGCAGCACTCCATCACTCTCCTTCTTGGTCAAATAGCCCTTACACAGCCTGGAAATGTGTTGGGTCATTGTCCTGTTGAAAAACAAATGATAGTCCCACTAAGCGTAAACCTGATGGGATGGCGTATCGCTGCAGAATGATGTGGTAGCCATGCTGGTTAAGTGTGCCTTAGATTCTAACTAAATCACTGACAGTGTCACCAGCAAAGGACCCCCACACCATCCTACCTCCTCCTCCATGCTTCACAGTGGGAACCACACATGCGGAGATCATCCGTTCACCTACTCTGCGTCTCACAAAGACATAGCGGTTGGAACCAAATTTGGACTCATCAGACCAAAGGACATATTTCCACCGGTCTAATGTCCATTGCTCGTGTTTCTTAGCACAAGCAAGTCTCTTCTTATTATTGGTGTCCTTTAGTAGTGGTTTCTTTGCAGCAATTCGACCGTGAAGGCCTGATTCACGCAGTCTCCTCTGAACAGTTGATGTTGAGATGTGTCTGTTACTTGAACTCTGTGAAGCATTTATTTGGGCTGCAATTTCTAAGGCTTGAGGGAAACCTGTTTCAGTCTTCCAGAGATTTGAGACTGGGACGGAGGTTCACCTTCCAGCAGGACAATGACCCTAAGCATACTGCTAAAGCAACACTCAAGTTGTTTAAGGGGAAACATTTACATGTCTTGGAATGGCCTAGTCAAAGCCCAGACCTCAATCCAATTAAGAATCTGTGGTATGACTTAAAGATTGCTGTACACCAGCAGAACCCATCCAACTTGAAGGAGCTGGAGCAGTTTTGCCTTCACTGGGCAAAAACCCCAGTGGCTAGATGTGCCAAGCTTATAGAGACATACCCCAAGAGACTTGCAGCTGTAATTGCTGCAAAAGGTGGTTCTACAAAGTATTGACTTTGGGGGGGGGGGGGGGGGGGATAGTTGCACGATCAAGTTTTCAGTTTTTTTGTCTTATTTCTTGTTTGTTTCACAATAAAAAGTATTTTGCATCTTCAAAGTGTTAGGCATGTTGTGTAAATCAAATGATACAAACCCCCCCCAAAAATCAATTTTCATTCCAGGTTGTAAGGCAACAAAAAAGGAAAAATGCCAAGGGGGGTGAATACTTTCGCAAGCCACTGTATCAGAAAGATCAGGGAGCATTTGTTATTTATTTTGACATTTATTTAACCCCTTATTTTTGGCACTAAACAGTCTCCATATACAGTGCATTGAGAAAGTATTCAGACCCCTTGACTTTTTCCACATTTTATTACGTTACAGCCTTATTCTAAAATTAATTAAATCGTTTTTTTTTCATCATCAATCTACACACAATAGACCATAATGACAAAAGCAAAAACACAAACAAAAAAAGGAAATATTACATTTACATAAGTATTCAGATCCTTTACTCAGTACTTTGTTGAAGCACCTTTGGCAGCGATTACAGCCTTGAGTCTTCTTGGGAATGACGCTACAAGCTTGGCACACCTGTATTTGGGGAGTTTCTCCCATTCTTCTCTGCAGATCCTCTCAAGCTGTCAGGTTGGATGGGGAGCGTCGCTGCACAGCTATTTTCAGGTCTCTCTAGAGAAGTTAGATCGGGTTCAAGTCCCGGATCTGTCTGGGCCACTCAAGGACATTCAGAGACTTGTCCCGAAGCCACTCCTGCATTGTCTTGGCTGTGTGCTTAGGGTCGTTGTCCTGTTGGAAGGTGAACCTTTGCCCCAGTCTGAGGTCCTGAGCACTCTGGAGCAGGTTTTCATCAAGGATCTCTCTGTACTTCGCTCAGTTCATCTGTCCCTCGATCCTGACTAGTCTCCCAGTCACTGCCACTGAAAAACATCCCCACAGCATGATACTGCCACCACCATGCTTCACTATAGGGATGTTGCCAGGTTTCCTCCAGATGTGACGCTTGGCATTCAGGCCAAAGAGTTCAATCTTGGTTTCATCAGACCAGAGAATCTTGTTTCTCATGGTCTGAGAGTCCTTTAGGGGCCTTTTGGCAAACTCCAAGTGGGCTGTCATGTGCCTTTTACTGAAGAGTGGCTTCCGTCTGGCCACTCTACCATAAAGGCCTGAATGGTGGAGTGCTGCAGAGATGGTTGTCCTTCTGGAAGGTTCTCCCATCTCAACAGAGGAACTCTAGAGCTTCTGTCTGAGTGTCCATCGGGTTCTTGGTCACCTCTCTGACCAAGGCCCTTCTCCCCCGATTGCTCAGTTTGGCCAGGCGGCCAGCTCTGGGAAGAGTCTTGGTTGTTCCAAACTTCTTCCATTTAAGAATGATGGAGGCCACTGTGTTCTTGGGGACCACCAATGCTGCAGACATTTTTTGGTACCCTTCCCCAGATCTGTGCCTCGACACAATCCTGACTCGGAGCTCTACGGACAATTCCTTCGACCTCATGGTTTGTTTTTTGCTTTGACATGCGCTGTCGACTGTGGGACCTTATATAGACAGGTGTGTGCCTTTCCAAATCATGTCCAATCAATTGAATTTACCACAGGTGGACTCCAATAAAGTTGTAGAAACATCTCAAGGATGACCAATGGAAACAGGATGCACCTGAACTCAATTTCAAGTCTCATAGCAAAGTGTGTGAATATTTATGTAAATAATATTTTTTTATAAATTAGCAAAACCTTTTTTTTAAACTGTTTTCACTTTGTCATTATGGGAT